GCACTGGAACTGCAGGTACAGCAAGGTGAACTACAGTCCAGGGGATGCCAGGCAACTACAGGCATCATCTCCTCTCCCCGCCTCCCTCCTTTCCTCTCCAGCCCTTCGAGCATCCCACGTGTCGTCCGTCGCCCCTGTGATGCAGGCGGCGTCTCGGCCACAGAGGCCAGAGGAAAGTCTACCCGCCCGCCGCACCTCCCCTTTCCTCCAAGCTCCCCGGGAGGCCGTCTACGGCCCGAGGAGAGGGACGGGGAGGCCGAGGCTCCAGAGCGTCACACGCCAGCAGAACGCTGCCGAGGGCGGGAGGCTCAGGGCAGGCAGGCAGCCACCTGGTAAGCCCCCTCGGCCGTGTGCTGGACACTGTGCTCCTGCAGCAGGCCCAGGTCCAGGAACCGCTCCCCGCACCACATGCACTTGTACTGCTGCTCCCGGGCGTGCACGCTGTGGTGCTTGTTGAGGTGCTCGCGCTGCTTGAAGGCCTTCTCGCAGGAGGGGCACTTGTAGGGCTTCTCGCCCGTGTGCACGCGCCGATGGCGCTGCAGGTCCGAGGCGTACTTGAACCGCTTCTCGCAGTCGGGGCACTTGAGGGGCTTCTCGCGGGCCGGGTCGCAGCGGTGCTGCACGAACTCGGAGGAGGAGAAGAAACGTCTCTCGCAGAGCGTGCACTTGAGCGGCTTCTCGGTGCAGTGGGCCAGCTGGTGCTTCTGTAGCGCCGAGGCCCGCTTGTAGGACTTGTTGCACACCGCGCACTTGAAGGGCCGCTCCGCGTTCTGCACGCACTTGTGCCGCAGCAGCTCCGAGGACTGGTTGAAGCCCTTCTGGCACACGTTGCACTTGAAGAGGTTCTCTATGCCGTGCACGTGCTGGTGGTACACCAGGTGCGAGGGCTGCACGAAGCCCTTCTCGCACAGGTTGCACTTGAAGGGCTCCTCGGTCTTGTGCGTGCGGCGATGGCGCATCAGCGCGTACTGCTGCTTGAAGCTCATCTGGCAGAGATCACACTTGAAGGGCCGCTCCTCGCTGTGCGTGCGCTCGTGCTGCCGCAGGTCCGAGGGACGCTTGAAGGCCTTCTGGCACTCGCCACAGCGGAAGGGCCGCTCGCCGCTGGGCGTGCAGGGGTGCTGCAGCAGCTCCGACGACTCCTTGAAGTGCAGCTCGCAGACGTTGCACTTGAAGAGGTGCTCCCCCGAGTGTGCATACATGTGGCGCACCAGGTGGGAGCGGTGCTTGAAGGTCTTCTCGCACACCGTGCACTTGTAGGGCCGCTCCGAGCTGTGCGTCCGCTTGTGGTGCACCAGGTGGGACGACTGGCTGAAGCTCTTGTCGCACAGCGTGCACTTGTACGGCTTCTCGCCCGTGTGGATGCGCTCATGCCGGGACAGCTCCGAGAGGTGCTTGAAGGTCTTCTGGCAGATGGAGCAGCTGTAGGGCTTCTCCGAGGGGTCAAGAGGCTGCGAGTGCTCCGCCTCGGGGGGCTTGTAGGTCTTCTCACAGATGGAGCACTTCATGGCGTTGCCGTTGTGGACGTTGTGGTGCTGCGCCAGCGAGGTCAGGAGGGAGAAGCCCATCTTGCAGACGCCGCACACAAAAGGCTTCTGCTCCACCTGGATGCACTGGTGCTCGAGGAGATCGGTGGCCTGGTGGAAGATCTTCAGGCACTGGGTACACTGGAAAGAGCGGTCATGGCCTGGCAAGCACTGGTGCTCATGGGGGTTGGAGAGGTGAGCGAGGTCGTGGCCGCACACCCCGCATTTGTGGGATGGCTCTCCAGCCTGGACGGGGGCGTGCTGGTGGTGCTGCAGGCCGGGGTCCGGCTGGAGCAGGATGCCGTAGACGGCGCAGCCCAAGGGGTTGTCAGCAGTGCTGGGGCTGCTGCCAGCTTTCTGACATGCTTGGGGAAAAAAACGGGATTTCAGCAGTGACGGCTTCAGCTTCTCAGTTGAAAGGGTTCAAGTCCAAACAGAGCTCGAAAGTATCCACAATCCTGACTCCCTGTAGCCGATCCCCTGAAGTCGAGGACAGAAAATCCAGCCCACAGCTAGGATCTTGGGAGGCAAAGAAGCGACCAAGACTCCACAGCCCCCTCCTTAGATCAGCACAAGTTCTTCACGGACTGGTTTGGTTTGGCTTTTTCTTTTTCGGACAAAAGAACAGGAGGCAGAAGCAAGCGCCTTGCGGATGAGGAGACGCCCTCCTCTGCGCTGGCTGCGATGTGCTCACATTCGGGAAGGGCGAGGGAGGCAGCCCAGGGAGCAGCTCTCTCTGCAAGGAAGAAGACAGCTCACGTCAGGTCTCAAGGGAAAGACGGGCGACTCTCGAGCCAGCATGCCCCACGGCTCACTTTGAGAACTCTCCCGTAGCCCCACAAAGCTGCCAGGAAGCCAGTGTGGGGGAGCTCACTGGAGCCCCCCTTGCTGCTGTGCGAAGGGCCTGGGATGAGGTGTGCTCAGCCCGGAAAAGGTTGGCTTGAGAACATCGGTCTCTGCACGGGCTGAGGTACGCCAAACGCCGTGCAATCCAGAAGCTACCGGGTTAGGTTTTAGGTTAGGTTTTAAGGGGATCAAGGCAGATCCCAACCCGATCCCACCCCAGCTGAAACACCCCTGTGAAGCAGCTGTGCCCCTCCTGCAGCTCGGGTGTCGGGCACATTACCCAAGGGATGCCAATCACAGATTTCCCTCTCTCTGGGCAGCACCTGTAGCCAGAGAGCTCAGGGGAAGGTTTGCCCTCAGCGTTACCCTACCGGCAGCCAAAACACAGAACCCGCAGGTATCGTGTGCACCACTCTTCTTGAAGATAAAAGAAGCGTTAAAACAATGGCTCGGCTGAACCTCCTACCAAATGACAGAATAAGAGTACACCGGAGCCGAACAACCTACACCAGCGGTGCTGCCCGGCCCTACAGGGCATTACCGGGGTTTTGCTCACTGAAAAGTTCCAGTCTTTCCAGAGACGTCCAGCGAAACCTGGTAACAACTTAAGAGAAGAGTAAAACCCACCAGCGAGCAGCAGACAGCAGCAGCGCCAACACACCTCGAGACAGGAAGGGGCCAG